TATCGCACCAGTGGTTACACAGTTTAGTGGTTGTTAGGAGTTGCCTTCCCCTGCCTGGCCCAGGCGGAAGCTGAAAGGACTTGGAGGAAGAGGGGAGATGGGGCAGTCTCCTGCCGGGGACCAGGTCTGTTTTCTCCACAGCTGCAGAGGGAGGGAAGGGAAGAGCAGAAAAGTCCAGCGGGTCTGAGAGGCAAGGATTCTGGTGCCAGCTGAAAGGGGGAGTCATAGGAAGGTGTGGCGCCCAGCTCAGTCCAAAACCTCACTATAGTAATACTTATGGGCAGCAGGAGTGGTCTTCCAGCCAGCAGCCCGGAACTCGATGATCTCCAGCAGCAGCAGCCGGGCCAGGGAGCTAAGGTCTATTGGCAGCAGGAAGCCATCCCGAATTAGGACAAAGAGCTCATCCATGCGCTGCCCGTTCATCTTCTCCAGCTGCTCCCCAACTCGGTGCAGCTGTAGCACCAGGCAGTCCACCTGCAGGGGCAGTGGAAGGCCTGGTCAGCCAGAGGGAGGACCGACGTGGTGCACCTGCTTCTGACCATGCTTTGCCCTTTATAATGGCTCCTGGCTTCATTCTGACACCAGGGGGTATAACCCACATCTTACCACAAAGACATGCGCAGAACTTCTGACCAGGCTGAACGCGGGCCTGGGCCTGTCTCCAAGCCGTTGCTTAACCCTACTCTGGCTTCCCTCCCCTCAAATGCCTGACTCAGGAGCTGGTTTCTGACTGGGTGGTAGTGACACACTCCTTTAATCCCAGCACTTAAGAGGCAGAGGCAGGCACACCTCTGAGTTCAAGGCCAGCCTGGTCTACAGAGCAGGTTCTAGGACAGGCTCCAAAGCTACACAGAGAAACCCTGTCTTGGAAAAACCAAAAAAAAGAAAGAAAAAAGTTGGTTTCTGAGCCATCTGTGCCCACAGCTGGCCACAGCTCTTGCCATTCTTAGCCTAGGCTGGCTGCCCTCCTGGGAAGCCTGTAGCCTTGGCTGCTGTGTGTTCTGGGTAAATTCCAGATACTGTCATTTGTCTTGTAATTGCTACAGGCCTTAAATGCCCCTACTAGGCACTGGCCGAGGAGCAGTGGCCTCCATGAGCGGGACTGCTGGGCTCCAAGCCAGCATGCCCGCCACAGCTTTCTGTCCACTGGCCACTCACCTCCTCTTCCCTGCTCAGACTCTCAGGCTGGGCCAGCTGGAAGAGACAGTCATAGACAGGGTTGACCAAGGCCATCATGGGCATGTTGTTCACCTGTGGGGAGAGCCAGAGGGACAGGGAGGCAGCGTTAGTGACCACGGGAAGCAATCCAGCCTTGGTCTCAGGACACAGGCCATCACTGCTGCACAGGGTGACTGCCCTTGCCTCACCCTCAAGTAGTCAAAGATGTTGCAGATGAAGGTGACATAGCACACCCAGCTCTGCCGGGAGCGAGCTCGCAGCTGCTCCCTGGCCTGATACTCCCGCTGTAGCCGGTCAAGGAGCCCGCGCCGGAAGACACTCTGGCCTGCTTGTTTACTCTCCGCCTGTGAGCCAGTAGAGGGTGGTAAGTGGGGCACTGGCCACTCCACCCGCCCTAGCCTGTGTCTTCTGCTGGCCAGCCTGTGCCTGATCCTGGGGTGCCATCCTCAAGGCAGCTCCCGCTCTGCCAGCCCCCCCAACCTGGATGATGGCGTAGCACATCCGTCCTGCTTCCTTGCTGAACACACAGTCCTGCAGAGAATGGTCCACAATCACATTGGCCACTTTCTCCAAGTCCACAGCGCCTGGATCTGGGGTAGAGACAGGGGCGGAGTCTAGAGCTGTCTCCATCTGCTAAGGACTCAAGGTTTTTGGTTTTTGTTGGTTTTTTTTTTTTGAGAGAGAGAGGGTCTCACCATGTAGCCTTGGCTGACCTGGAACATTCTATGGAGACCTCAGAGATTTACCTGCCTCTGTTTCCTGAGTACTGGATTAAAGTCATGTACAACACCCAAGGACCTGAGATGTTTGTAATAGAACACCTCCATCACATGCTTAAAAGATGAAGGGAAAACCATCCAGATGACACTCAGGAGGCAGAAACAAGAGGAATCAAGAAGTAAGGGTTACCCTTGGCTACAAACAGAGTACTAGGACAGCCTGGGCTACATGAGACCCTGTCTCAAAAAAAGAAAGCTGGGTTGAGCGGTGCACAGCTGTCATCGTAGGACTTGAGAGGCAGAGACAGGCAGCCCATCTACATAGCAAGTTCCAGGTCAGCCATAGCTACATAATGAGATCTCGTCTAGAAAAAAAAAAAAAAATTCAAAGTTGGAGATGTAAAGGCTGTAATTTGGGGATCAAGCACTCTGCCCACCTACTATGTGTGAAACCCAAGGTTGGACACAAAGCAGCCAAACCAATAAAAAAGCAGCCTCCAAGAAGGCGCTTGTAACCACACCTAGGGCAGGCGGCTCTGTCAAGACCTTGTCAGGACCCTGGTCGCCCACGCATGAAATAGGGGAGTTAAAGCATGTCTCGGTGGACCCAGGTTCAATTCCCGGCCCCCACACTGGGCTGTTCCTAGCTGCCTGTAACTCCAGTTCCAGAGGATCTGACGCCCTCTTTTGCATCCACGGGCACTGCACATGCATGGTGCACACAAATAAACTAAATTAAAACCAAGTTTTTTAATTATATACTGCCACATGTGGCTCTCAGCCTTTAATCACAGCACTTCGGAGGCAGAGGCATGCCGACCTGAGTTTGAGGCCAGCTTGGTCTATATAGTGAGCTGTAGGCCAGCCAGGGCTACTCTGAGAGATCCTTGCCAAACAAACAAATAAATATAAGATTATGGGGCTGGAAGAGACCAAAGTACAGATGTACTCTCTTGGAATACATGTTTTATATTTTGGCAGTAGACTGAAGAATGTATACTGAATGTCAAGATATCTACAACCTTTTCTTTTCCTGGTCTTTTGAGACAGCCTAATTTTGCTATTTAATAGCACTGGCTAGCCTACAGCTCAGCATCTAAATTTTTAGGTTCATTCATTTTATATGTATGAATATTTTATCTGCATGACCATATGCATACTACGTGTTTGCCTGGTGCTGGCATTGGATCCTGGGAACTCAGTTAACAATGACTGTGAGCCACTCCGGGTCCTCTGGAAGTGCTTTTTATATTTTGGGTTTTGGTTTGTTTTTTTTTTTTTCCCTCTGTGACTGGGTCACACTATGTAGCCCTGGCTATCTTGGAATTCACTATATAGCTAATCACACCAGACTGGTACTCACAGAGATCCCCTGCCTCTGTCTCTGCCTCCCCAGTGCTGGGATTCAAGGTGTGCACCAAGCCTGGTTTGCAACCAGTGCTCTAAACTGTTGGGCTCTTTCCCCTCCCCCAGGCACTCTCTATGTAAAGCAGGTTGGCCTTAAATTTGTGCTTAATCCTCCTGCCTCTGTAATCTGCTTGGATTACAGTTGTGCACCACCACATGGCTCCAAGTATTCTCAAAACACAGAGGCCACAGACAGGAGCTCTGTGCAGAGACTTCCCCAATGGAATGTTAAGTCACACTTCTGTACTGAGGTTACCATGGAAGGGCACGGGCCAGGCAATGTCATATCTCTTTCAGCAAGCTGACTCCCCAACCTCAGTCAGGCAGCTCTGAACATTTAAGGGAGCTGAGAGCTGATTGCATTGAACGTGGAGGCTTTAAACCGAAGTCTGTGTTCTCTTTCTTGGGCACTTAAAGGCTTTATGATCGTAGGACTCCGTGATTCATCCTCAAAAATAATGGCCTAGGTGTAGCTCATCTTCCAGTTCAAGTGTTAGGTTATGACTTCCTCTCAGGGAGCCACGGGAAGGCTGGACATTGCCTGGCTCTGGGACTCAGCCCCTCTGCAGCTCTTGCCCAAACAGAAGGGCTGGTAGGGCTCACCTTTGAGTGCGGTCTTTAGCAGTTGCTGGGTTTCTGCGTCAAAAGACTGGATTTTATACTCATCTCTACTGGTCTCTCCCATGACAGTGTAGCCCCAGCCGCTTTTCACTGGCCTGAAACTAATGACAGCACCTGAGAAGCAAAGGCCGAAGAGGCTTCAAGTGAGAATCGCAGCGCTCCGGATTCTAGTCCAGTCGGCACTGGGTCGGGGCAGGCCAGGGCTTGGGACAGGTGTAAATGGACTTCCTGTCGCCTTCGGTGGTTGGCTGCGAGCCCACCAAACTTGGCTTCTGGTGGAGACTTTGAGCAGCAAGTAGGCACCTGCAGTTCAACTTAAGGAAACCCAGGCTTTTTCTGCGATTACGTATGAGAAATGAAGGGAGAATTCACCTACGGTCGCGGCAGGGTCTGGGTTTTTAGTATCAGGGTAAGTTTCGGGGAGCATATACTGAACTGGGTTATGGAGAGGTAAATATCACACTCGCCCAAATTATCCAGCATGGAGAATTCTGGCGCAGTTCCTTGGCCGGCGTTGTCCAAGCCGCGGATCCTGACACCAGCGGGGCTTCGAGCCCTTCTCCCCAGTGTCTGCCAGTCCTTTTCAGCCTTCCAAACCCACCCCTGCAGCCGTTGGGCTCTCGCTAGCCTGCGTGTGAGGGCGCCCGCGTCTTCGGGGCTGCGCAGCGCGCGCTCGGCGTGGTACAGCGCGGAAGCTGAGCTCATCTCGCATTGGGTCTGAGCTGCTCGCCCGCGCCCCCTGCCGGCCACGGCCCGCCTTCGCCTCCGCACCCCGCCGCCGCCCCAGGCCGCTCCCTCGCTTGGCGCCGAGACAGATTCGCACCCCACTTCTGCGACACCGCCACCGCCGCGCCGAGCGCTCACCGGACCCTGTCCCCTCCTCACCGGGCGCGCCTCCGCCTTGATTCTGACCGTAGAGGTCCTCGAGCGCTCGGCCGAACTTGCTCCCCCTTCCGCATGAAGCCCTCGGTCTTGCGGCTCGCACCCCCCGCCAGTGTCACCATGTCCCTCGCGGGGCTCAGGTGAACTGGGTCGGAGACTCCCCGGCCGTGCGGCGTGGGAGGAGCCTCGGAGAGGCGTGGCCTGCCCGGGAGAAGGGGCGGGTCAATCGCAGAAGGCTCAGCACCGTCACTGGGGTTCGGCTGGTTTAAAGTGTGTATGGGCTGGGGCACACCCTGGCAACTCCCTCTCTTGCCACCCGGGCAAAACAACTTTCAATCCAAAGGGACAATCCGAGAGAAAGGCACCACTGTGGCCTCCACACTCCACAGGAGATCAGGAGCCAAAGCTCGCGCCTGTTTAAAGAGTTGTCACAACACTCATGGCAATAGGTACAAAAGAGAACTCCGGAGAAGCATGGAATTTACTTCATAAAAAAGCAAACTAAAACATCCAGAAGCCGACTCTAAAGCCTCCAGGTTAAGATGGGACATCTAAGAGAAAAAACAAACTGCCTCAAAAAATAGGAAAAAAAAAAATACCGGAGGTTCTAGGGAAGCGAACAACCCAAGGGCTCCTCCCTACAGAAGCAATGAGGATTGCCGAGGGGTAGCCAAGCTGCCTGAAAAAGGTTCCGGTCCGCACAGCTATGTGGAAGAAGCCGCGATGAACTGGGCTGCCTGGCAGGACCGGTCAAGTTGACTTGAAGAGAACTGCCTGGTGGAGTCTTCAATCTCAGGCTGTTGGGTGTGCCCCATGTTTCCAGCTTTCCAGAGCTATCAACCTCACTGTGTGGCTCAGCAAAATGGACTTTGGTAGTGTGTTTTGTGGGTTTTTGGTAATTATTTTATTTAATGTGCATTGGTGTTTTGCCTGCATTTATGGATATGAGGGTGTCAAATCACTTTGAGTTGCTGGATCAGACAGTTGTGAGCTGCCATGTGAGTACTAGGAATTGAACCTGGGTCCTCTGAAAGAGCAGCCGGTGCCCTTAACCGCTGAGCCATCTCTCCAGCCCTGTGTGCTAAAGTTTTATACCAAACTAAAGCCATGTGGGAAGTAGGAACCTCAAATAGGGTCAGGCTTGTGGGCAAGCTTGCAGAGCATCTTTAGTTAGTGATTGATGGGGGAGGGTCCAGCCCATTGTGGGTGTGGCCACACCCTGGACTGGTGGTCCTGGGTTCTATAAGAAAGCAGGCTGAGCAAGCCATGGAGAGCAAGCTAGTACACAGCACTCCTCCGTGGCCTCGGCATCAGTCCCGCCTCCAGGTTCCTGCCCTGCTTGAGTTCCTGTCTAGACTTCCTTTAATGATGAACAGTGATATGGAAGTATAAACCAAATAAACCCTCTCCTCCCCAACCAGCTTTCTGGTCCTGGTGTTTCATGGCAGCAATGGAAACGTGTTGACAGGTAGCATCTTCACATTGGTCTGTCATCCTTCTCTGGAGTGGACATCTGTTCACACTTCTTCAGGAAGAGGACCACACTACACTTCTGCAGCCCCAAGCCCAGGAAGCCACGAGCCCACCCACCTCAGAAACCCTCCCAAGAGCAGCCTGGACCTTGAGAATCCACAGTCAAGGTCAGAGAAAATTCGGTCGCTAGGGGCGGGGTACAACAGGACTGTGGGGGGGGGCAGAAGTCCCAGCTTCCATGAACAGGGCCATTACAGTCTGAGTTATTCAGGGGGTGGAATCCCAGTCAAGGGATCTCCCTCCCTTCCCTCTGCCAGACTCACTGACAGGCAGGAACTTGGAAAAGATGCTGTGTATTTCTTCTCTTGTGCCCCTGACAAAAGATTTTCCTCTTCATATAGATATATCTGTCTGGAGCTCTGGTTCCGCTAACAGGTACCAACCATGTCCCCCTAGGATGTTGGCCGTCCCCATCACTGGACTGCTTTGTGGCTGGGCCCTTTGGGGATTAGAGGACTCACATGTGCAGCACCCATGCTGAGCTGAAGGGCAGCACCCTGCGCTAATGATGCTACCTGGCCTGAGGACTCTGCACCCCAGCAGAGCTGACCCAGCACCCAGCGCAGAGGAACCACTGACAAGACTGAGGGTCAGGGCCAGCACGCCCCCTTCACTTCCTGCCTTCTGCCTAGAAGCTAGTTTTGTCCCGGTGTCCTTCCTGTCCAGTCCTGGAGCCTCACAGCCACAAAGGTCTGGAACTGGGGGTCCAGAAGCTCCCCATGTGGTAGGGTTCACCCCTTACATTGAAGAACACGGTGCCTCAGGGCTGCAATTGCAGGGACAGCAGAGAGCCCCTCCCATCATCCTCGAGTGACATCTAGAATGTGCCTTTTGCTTTAATGTCTATTAAATAATAAGTTGGTAAGAGAAACAGATCAAACTGTGGGGCTTAGACTTCTACAAAGAGCCCAGTCCTATCCCTCTGTACGTAAGCCACGCTCTTACCAGGACTGGGAGACTTTCCCCCAAAACAGGACTACAAGGCAGAGGATGGCTGATTCCCTTAGGGCTGGACAGAGGAGAACCAATACCAGGCTCCTTCTGGGGCCTTGCTTCTACAGCCCACGGGGCTCCCTTCTCTGCTCTTTCTGGAAAAGGTCCCGCCCTTCTGCCATCAGCTGTGGGTGACTTTTTCTGCGCAGGGCAGCCAGCCTGGGAGGCCAAGCAGGCAGCAGCCATCGTCGAGAATGAGCTCAGAACAAGTCTTGTTGGGGGAGGCGCCTCCCGCTCTCGCAGCTATCTGTCTTCTCTCCGTATGCAGTGGAAGAGGTTGCAGAAGAGCTCATACCAGAAGAACATGAAGCCCGTGGACAGGGCAGCCTTCAGCAGGCTGGGGGACAGGCCCTTGAAGAAGCCCTGGGTGCCTTCATCTTGTAGTACCTGCTTGGTGAGGTCCAGCAGGCCCCTGTAGCTCCGCACCTGGGGAGAGGAAGGTATAGGTTGAGGAGGAAGCAGTGATTAAAACGGGGTTCACCTGGCACAGCACAGCTTCCGGTAACTGCTCCCTGGATTAGCAAGAGTGAACTCCTTCATTCTTTTTTTTTTAAAAAAATATTTATTTATTTATTATGTATACAATATTCTGTCTGTGTATATGCCTACAGGCCAGAAGAGGGCACTAGACCTCATTACAGATGGTTGTGAGCCACCATGTGGTTGCCGGGAATTGAACTCAGGACCTTTGGAAGAGCAGGCAATGCTCTTAACCACTGAGCCATCTCTCCAGCCCCCGAAATCCTCCATTCTTGGGGATGTCGGCTAGGTCAGGCTTAACTGAGCTAGAGCGGGCTCCTTCCTGGTGAGGGGGTACCTGCCCGTGGTTCTGGTGGATACAGTGACAGTCGTGGGCCATCCTGGAGTCTTCACCCCATTACAAGTGGTTTCCCTTGGGCAGCAGGTCTGAATCTGCCCATCGCTAGGTCTTCCCCAACCAGTGCCCCGCTCTCCTGCCCATTAGAGAATCCAAGATTATTGACTTTTTCCTGGGTGTATCCCTAAAGGATGAGGGTCTAAAGGTCATGCGAGTGCAGAAGCAGACTTGGACTGGCCAGCAGACCAGGTTCAAGGCTTTTGTCACTATTGGGGACTACAATGATCATGTTGATCTTGGTGTTAAGTGCTCCACAGAGGTAGCCACTGCCTTCCGAGGAGCCATCATCTTGGCCAAGCTTTCCACTGTCCCTGTGCGGAAAGGCTACTGGGGGAACAAGACTGGCAAGTCTTACACTGTTCTATGCAAGGTGACAGGCCGCTGTGGTTCTGTGTTGGTGCGTCTCATCCCTGCCCCCAGAGGCACTGGCATAGTCTCTGCTCCTGTGCCCAAGAAGCTACTGCTGATGGCCGGTACTGATGGCTGCTGCACATCAGCCAGGGGCTGCACTGCCACCCTGGACATCTTTGCCAAAGCCACCTTCAAGACCTATAGCTACTAGACTCGCGATCTCTGTAAAGAGACTGTGTTTATCAATATTAAGTCTCCTTATCAGGAATTCACTGAGCATCTTGTGAAAACCCACAGCAGAGTCTCCGTTCAGAGGACCCAGACTTCTGCTAAAAAAAGAGAGAGAGAGAGAGAGAATGAAGGGGGGGCAGGCGGCAGGGCTGGTTCCCTCACTGTCCAATGAGTGCAAGGACTTGAGTGTTCTACACAGGATGACTTACCTGGCCAAAGGTAGATCGTGCATGCTCGAAGCCTCCCACCTGCAGCCGCTTCTTGAAGAGGTCCAGGGGGTACGTAAGGGTTTTGCTGATGACTCCAGATCCACAGCCACAAAGCAGGTTTTTAAGGTTCCCTGAACCAAAGACACCATTTTGAAGAGAAGGGCGAGAGAAACGCAATTGAAGGTAAATGACATGACGGGGGATGGGGGACGGGGGACAGGGGACGGGAGATACACAATTGAAGGTGGATGACATGTCGGGGACAGGGGACGGGAGAGAGTTCAGTGTTGTAAAGCACTTGCTGCTCTTCCAGAAAAACCAAGTTCTGTTCCCAGCACCCACACCAGCAACTCACAGTTGCTTGGAACTACAACTCCAGAGAATCTTTTGGCCCCCGTGTGTACCCTTACACACACACAGATGGCACACACACATGCAGACACATAAAATAAACCAGAGCTGGAGAGACGGCGCGGCAGTTAAGACCACTGGCTGCTTTTCTAGAGGACCCGGATTCTATTCCCAGCACCTCGTGATGGCTCACAGCTGCCAGTAACTCCAGTTCCTGGGGATCCAATAACCTCTTCCTGTCTCCAAGGGCACCAGGCACACACATGGTATACAGACATACATAAAGTAATTAAAAATCTTTAAAAATATATGAGTTAAAAATATCAGAGCTGGGCAGTGGTGGTGCATATCTTTAATCCCAGCACTTAGAAGGCAGCCTGGTCTACAGAGCAAGTTCTAGGATGACCAGAGTTATTTGTTACACAGAGAAACCCTGTCTCAAAAAACCAAAACCAAAAAGAAAAAAAGTCATCAAACTTAGTACTCTACCACAAACCCGAGCCCCACAAGCATTCTGCTTCTCAAGAGGGAACCTGACCATTGCTAGTGGCAGGCACAGCCACTGAAGCAAGACTGACAGCAGGGATGTTAGCCAGCTGGATTGCAGGGCCCATGAGTTCCCCTTCCCCATGAACAATGGAAACCACAAAAGCTAAATAAATAAATAAAAGTGAAATTGCTCTTAGAAGTGCAGAGCTGAGTGTGTAAGAGCCGGAAGGAAGTGCCCTCCAAAGTGCAAGACTTGCTTGTTCTGCTAGCTAGACCACAGAGCCAGGTACTCGGGACAGGAAAATCATTGTCTTCAAGGCTCACAGAAGCTGTGGCCCAGGCTAGGCCAGGGTGGGGGGAGGTGTTGGGGTCACCTTACCTGTTTGCTTTCCATCTGGCGGTATGACCCAGTCGTAGGCATGCTTCAAGGATCGGTAGCAGGAGAACTGCAGGCCCGCATAGGGGAAGATGGCGATCACAGTGGGAGCTAAGCCTTTGTAGAAGACCCAGGGGCCCTCGGTCTTGTACATGGTCGACACGGCCTCTCGGAGGGTGTTATAGATCTGCACACGAACATGCACACTGGGTGAGCTGGGTGAGGTGGTTTCAGCCCAAGAACAGCCCACACGCATGTTTCTTCTCATCTAAACCCAGCTGTCAGGAGTGTTAACTTTTCCTCTGCAGTCCAGAAAAACTAAGGGTAAAAGTAAGTGGGGGCCCGGTGTGGAGGCACACACGCTGTAATCTCAGCACCTGATAGATGGAGGCAGGAGGATCAGGAATTCAAAGTCTGACTGGACAATGTATCCTGTTCAAGGCCACTCTGGACTGAATACGACCCCATCTGAAAACAAAACAAAACTTCCAAAGGGCAGCGGGGTGCAGTGGTGCACATCAGAGTCCAAGCACTTAGTAGATGGAGGCAGGACGGTCAAGAGTTTGCGGACAGGGACTGGAGAGATGGCTTAGTAATGAAGAGCACTGGCCGCTCTTCCAGAGGACCCAGGTTTGGTTCCCAGCACCCACAGGACCTAACAGTTGTCTGTAACTCCAGTTCCAGGGTATCCAACATCCTCTGTTAGCCCTGCATGTACACAGTGTACAGGAATAAAGGTAGACCAAATACCTGTATACATAAAAACAAATCTTTAAAAAAAAAAAAAAAAGTTTGAGGCCAGCTGGGCATAGCTGGTGCAAAAGTAGGCATAGCTATCTCTCTCTTCTCAAGGCCAGCCTGGTCTACATATCAAGCTATATAACAAGACCTTGTCTCAAAAAGAAAGAAAGAAAGGAAGGAAGGAAGGAAGGAAGAAAGAAAAGAGAAAAGCTTGAGCAGCACAGGGAGACCCTGTCTCCAAAACAAACAAACTAATAAAAGGCTGTGGCTTCCCGTCAACTTCCTTCCTAGAAATTTCCACGGCTGGTATTCCTTCATAAGTCTATAAAGGAATGTGTCCTGGGACTAGGGACCCGTGCCAGCAAATACTTTCTGCTCTTGCAGAGGACCCAGGTTCGGTTCCCAGCATCCACATGGCAGCAGTTCCAGAGGATCCCACGCCCTCTTCCGGGCATGTGGGCACTGCACACACGTAGTACACAGACACATATGCAGGCAAAACACCCATACACATCCCAGCAGCATCCCATGGACTGCAAGGAAGCAGCCTGAACTCTGCAGGCCACTGGGCCACCCTCAAGGGAAAGCCACTTGCAAGAACAAAAACCCTGCCCAGGTCTCCCAAGGAAATCGCAAACACCACCACAAAGAGTGGATGGTTCATTTCAAAGTTCCTTCCCAGGAAGGTGGGGAGCAGGCTGAAGAACAACAGAAAATGCCGCACAGGCTAGCATCAGGTT